ATCCCTGCTGTCCCTCGCTAGGGTTTGACATCCATCACCTCCATCTTCCAGGTGGGAGAGCTGAGGCACGTGGATGTTGACTTGCAGAGCATATTTAATAAAACTGGTCTTGCAGTCCTTTGATTTCCTCCTCATCCTCCTTAGACTGTGTTCAAAGAGCCCATGTTTTGCTTTTTTAATACTCTGCCAATGCCGAGCGGCCGGCTGCTGTCCCTCGCTAGGGTTTGACATCCATCACCTCCATCTTCCAGGTGGGAGAGCTGAGGCACGTGGATGTTGACTTGCAGAGCATATTTAATAAAACTGGTCTTGCAGTCCTTTGATTTCCTCCTCATCCTCCTTAGACTGTGTTCAAAGAGCCCATGTTTTGCTTTTTTAATACTCTGCCAATGCCGAGCGGCCGGTGCCTCGGTTGGAGCGTTGATGGGTTGTAGGTACCTACAGGCGATGACCAATGTGTACCTCTCTGCCTTTCTCGCTGTTGCTTTGCTCTCTTCTGCATTTGACTTTCAACTCCCTGTGTTGTCCTCCGTAGGGGGATGTAGATGTCCACTCTACAATGTCGGTGAGTACGAGACTGTGTGTCATGCGCGTTCAGTCTGCTCTGCTCGCACCTCAAATGTTAGAGGGTGAGTTGAACCAGAAAAAGTCCTTAGTCTCGGAAGGGAGGAAAGGGAAAGATTGAAGTTTAAATCAATAGGATAAATAAGAGACCAGGGGAAAGGGTTTCCTTCCAGGTCACCCACAAGCATGCTGTTGCAGTAGCATTGCTAAATTGTTGCTTTTAGAACACGTCGCATTTACCTGGCTCCTTTTATCCCCCATGCATCCCTAAATGTGCGGGGAATTAGGGAAATGCCTGTTATTAGGGAAAGCATGATGGGATCTTCAACCTCTGCTTGAAAGAGAAAAGATCTTTGTAAAATCCTCCCTCTCTCCCTGTATTTTGTTCAGACAAATCCCCCATGGGGATTTCAGCCTGATGTTCCTCCTGGTCTAAGTGCTCCGACCCGGGGCTTGGACCACTGAGCCTTCCCTCCGGCTAGAGCGGTAGAATAGTATTTTATCCAGAAAATAGTGTGGGTTCTTGACGTTAACTATCTCCCTATTTGGATTAGGGCAATTAGCACAAAGAAAGCAAAGGAGACCTTTCGGACCTGCCTTCTGGTTCAACGAACCCCTCTAATTGTTGTCATTTCTGCTTGTTTCATGTGCGGGAGAAAAATCTGCGGCACTTCCCCGGATAGATCGCAAACAAAGTGCTCTCGAGCTACCTTGTTTCCTCTATTCCCATGTCTGCAAGCCAAGGCACATGCGAGCAAAGCGCGCCTCGTTTTTTTTGTCGGTGCAGCCCTGCTCGACGCGGTCGTGCGGTGTGAGATGCGGCCGTCGCGGAGGCATAGCCTCTACCCCAGCCTCTGCTTTTCTGCCTTTAACCCCTGCTCTCCATTTTAATGCTGAGCTGCCATGGTAGTATTGATATTTCACGCCGCGGTTGGGTGCGTGTACCCCTTTTCCTGGAAACTGAGCATAGCTAAGCCTTGAGTATTTGCAGGCTCTGGGCACCTGGGGGTTTCTAAGTCAACATCGAGGTCTCAAATCAACGCCAGCTTCTGGAAAGAAAGAGCCTTGTTAAAGCAATTTGAGGCCGGCTTCCATCAAAGCCGTGGCTCGGTTGCTGGCAGGGCTGCGGGAGCTGCCCGCGCCGTCGGGGAGCAGGCAGGGATGCTTCGGGCATCCCCCCGCGGCCGCGGGTTTCCAGGAGCGGTGTTGAATATCGACCATCCTACGTGGTGTCCTCAGGGCGTACCCGAAGAGAGACAGATGCAGAAACTGGTATTGCCTCTGGCTTTTCAAGACTTTCAACCATTTAGAAGCCAGATGTATTTATTTCTTTAATTGAATCCAGTGCCTAGACAGCTATGGAGTCAGCTTCCTATGGAGAGGGGTGCATTAGTTTCATTAAGGTAAATCAATGAAAAATAATACCTGGAGGTCCCCTGGAAAGGGTCAGGAATGGAGTAATCCCTTTATATGGTGGGACTTTGCTAGCCTGCTCTTAGTTGATTTTGTTTTTAACTGCAACGGATTCTAATTTTCCTTTTAACCCCTCTAATTTTCTGTTCTCTAGGTAGTTTCTATTAATGGGTGGAAATAAATCACTAATCTGTCTGTCTAAAAGAGATTGAAAAATAAAAATCTGATTGCACAAAATAGCAGGACAAAGGAGTAATTGTAACGGAGTTTAAAATGTCCGGTGGGAAGTAGTTGTGGCTAATCCTGGAAGTTTCTTGGTGTTGTAGATAGACACACACATAAAAAAAAGAAAAAAAAAAAACAAAAAAACGAGTTGCCTGGAATGCAGACATGGACAGGGCATGAGCAGCAACCAAAATCCTCCCTGTATGGTCCTCAGGGGGCTTCCTCTGCTCTCCAGAGGTGATCCGAGTCTCTTGAGGGGTTGCTTGGACCAGCTTGCGCTGAAGGTTGGGCTAAATGCCCTTAAAACGAGGGTGCTTGGTGGGGAGAACATGGGCTGGAGAGTGGAGCAGCGCTTGCATGGCTGTGTGGTCCCGTGCTGCCCGCCTTGCTGCGGTCTGGTGGCTGTGCATTACTTTCCTGGTCTTCTCAAGTGTCTCCGAAATCCTAAATACTTCCCAAAATGAAGGGGTCGAAACAAGAACTAATGGTTACTTTAAAGCAAGGAGCAAAGCATTCAAATACGGTGGATTTAGCTTTGTTGGCTGGGGAGAAGGCTGACCTCTGATTAACCCAGGAGCGCTAGTTAACTCGAATCCGGGTAAGCCAAGTTATCTTGTAATTACATGGTTTCTTGTCTGCTTTCAGCACTTTGAAAATTAATTGAAGCTAAAATGCCCAGTCCCATAAATCCTTTAAACCAGGGTGTGCACGCTTCCCTAGGTATTGCTTCCCTTTGTGTAGTCACCTTGGCATGTTTGGCTTTGATTTTTATTTTACAAACTTAGATTTATAAAGCTATTTTATGCTTACTTTTGCATGCACGTACATACACAAAGAATCAGATGTGCGGTACGGGGAATTTGGCAGCTGAAAATCCATCCTCAGCGTAAGGAATCCAAACATGCCTGCTGCTTCCTGCACCAGAGCCCCAGCCTATACCTTCCAAAAACCCTAACAGAAGTTAAAGTATGGATTTTTTTTTTTCCCCCCCCTTTAGCGAATTTAAGTGAAACAATAGACTTTGCAATTACATGCTTTCCTCTTATTTCATCCACTGGCAACCTGAAATCTTGTAAGGCTTCTCTTAAGTTGTGAACGTGCAAAGGAACACCGATGAACACCGCATCTGCTTCCAAAGCCCCCAGCTATCTTGCTTACCCTGCCCACGGGAGGAGACCCACCTGCCCTAGAGGAGCCCAACCTTCAGGTGCAATGTCCTTTGGGGTCCCCGTGCAGAGATCACTTGAATTGAGGTCCCACACAGAAGCGTGGGGAGCTTATGCCCATCCTTCAGAGCCGATAGCCGCCTGAGCGTGGTTGAGTGCTATTGGCATGGTTGAAGTGGGTGGAATTAAGGACACATCGTTTCGTGACCATCATAGGGGTGCCTTTACGCAGAGATAGGTTCTCCCTGGATCTTGTACGTTAAATGTAACAGCAAGAAAGAGAAGCAAAGCATTTAAAAGCGCAGATCCTTATGGATTTCTCATGATCACCGTGGTCTTTCTTCATTGTGTTTCAGGAATGGCAATAAATAATGGGAGCCCTATGGCTTAATTAAAAACCAAGATAACAGTAATTTCTACAGCTTTCACCGTGCATCTTTTTCTTCTCTCTGTTTTTCAACTATAACATCTAAATATTGAAAACGGAATTTTAATGTATGATTTAGTTTTTGGAAAAATGTAAAACGAGCTGAAGTTTCATACACTGCTTGTGTTGGTCATTCAGTAATCTGCTCTGCTTGGAAAAAAAAATATCTCCTGAATTGGGCGTTGATGGCTCATGGAGTGGAAATGGAGTGGGTGGTTTTCGTTTTTTTGTTTGTTTTTTTTTGTTTTGTTTTGAGCTCATCCTTTTTTCCAGTCTGTTCAACATCTGGGCCTTAAGTCATGTATTAGTTGCGTTTCCAACAGGCAGCCGTACGTCACGGCAACACGCCGACTCTTCCTTCGGCATCTCGGCAAGCAGAAATCTGCGTCAACGGGGAATCTGAAGCATCCATGTGTGTGCGAAGGGTGAGAAGCCCTTCGTGTCAGCGTGCCGGAGGGCTCCGCCGCAAGGATGAGTGCAGTGTGCTGGGCTCCAAGCCTCGAGATCTTTCCCCTTTCATTTATGACATCAAATTATAATTATAAAATTATATAGCAAAGATGAAGCGATTCAGTTCACTCTCTTTAAGTCTTCCTACTGCCATAATTGGCAGATGCTTTGCCCTGATAAATCAGCAGAAAGAAGCGTGGTTCTAGCTCTTCATATGTTAGGGAAAAAATAAAAAAAGAATCTGTATTTAATCAACTTTTTGTTTCCAAAATGGCAGCTGCTTTGTATTTAATGGAAAATCAGGCTCTTCCCAATGGAAAGAATGTTATTCCCAAAGTGAATACAAAAGAAAATAAAAGCCACAAAAGAGGAGAATGAAATATGTAATTTTTTTTTTTTTTCTCGTTCTTTCCAGTTTTGGAGCCGCGCGCTCCGATCATGGTCAGGCCACGGCTCTGGTTTGTGTCAAGTAACTCGGAAAGTCTCAGCCCGTGGACAGGAGAGAGCCTCGCTCCACATTAGGAGGCACAAATAGGACCGAGAAAAATTAGGGCTACTTCATGTTTCTTGTGTACATATAGAGACTCGTTAAACGCAGGTTATTTATGGGTTTAATTCCTTTGCAGGCTGAGATGCCTCCGCTGTTGGAGCATCGCGTTTTTTCCTTGACATCTCTTGTTTGCAGAGTCTTGGTGTCTTTTTCAGAGGTGAATGATCTCTGTGGAGACCTGAGTGGTGAGCATGGGAGAGGAGAGAATTGAGGAGCACCAAGCCCGTGCCTTGTCCAAGCCCAGCAGGTCCACGGGTCGCCATCCTCTCCCTGGGGTTGCAGTGAATCTACAGCACTGTCCTTTCTCGGTCTGCTGCTCGTGTTTGCTTGCAGTATTTGCTCTGAAATGTATTTAAATGTTGGAAAATTAATATTTAGTACTGGGGGGGAGGCTGCCAAACTGCCACCTTGGCAGGTCAAAAGCCCCAGGTTTGTATGGTTCGGTCAACGGTGCAATTCAGTTTAGGGTTCCCTCCTGCTGCTGGGCCAGGGATGTTGATCCATGCCATGGAGATACTTTCTGGGGGAAGGAGAAGCGGTTTGAGCTGTCATGACGTGCTGTGTCCATGTATTTTGGCTTTTGCGTGGGTTTTGGTAGCTGCTTCCCTGCTGGCCCCTGCACCTCCCCGTCTCGTGGTGCCGTTTCTCAGCACAAGAAGGCGGCGCAGGCGTTTGCAGTGCAGCTCGTAACAGCGCGGGGTGTTTAGAGAGCAGGTAGATAGGACTTTTTTATCTTTTATTGTTTAAAAAAGAGGGTCACGTAAGGAAAG